TTATGCTAATATTTTTAGTTTTTAATTTGTGAGTAAATATATTATAATATTTTTTTCTTTATTAATGTAATATTTTTTTCTTTTATTTCATAAATATTATTATTTTAATTTATTTACGTTTTTAATTATTTTTATATTATAATATTTATTAGAATAATCATTTGTATTATATAATTATAATATAATTTAAAAAAAAAAACGTCCGGCCGGTTCGTAACTGGCCGGAGGGGCCGATTCGGTCACCGTACGACCGGCCCCCGAAGACGCACAGAGACCCGACCGTGCGGTCCGGTCCGGCCGAACGGTCTAATGGGCGACCGGTAAAGAAGACCAGTCGCCCCGCGGGCCGTACGGAAATAAGGGTCGTACGTCTCGCCCCGCGTTCGGTCCGACCGGCGGACGCGGGTCCTGATTAAAAAAAAAAAGTTTAAAAATTATTTAAATTATAAAAAAAAAATTACCTTGCTAGCGAAGAACGCTTTGCCATTTTTTCGATATTTTTTTGGAATTATTTTGACGCTCGTACCGGTCGTTGAAGTTTCGGTTTTAGAGAGATAGAGAGTTTAGAGAAGAAAAGAAAGAAATATAGTAAAGGGTATTTTCGTAATTGGGGGCAGTGATTAGTAATAGGAGGCGGTAAATAGCAATTGAGTATATATTATAGTAAATAACGGGGGTGGTGATCCAACGGTCAACCGTGATATTGGGTGGATAATAATTCAGGTTACAAAAAAATAAAATAAAGGAAAATGCTAAAATAAATAATCTAATGGATTATTCCTGTGGACACGTGCAGGCAGCAGGTCAAAGCTTGGTAACAAAGACAAAATAGAGTTGGTATGGACTGGAGCAGTGATTTATTTGCAGACTGGTGATGAGTGGAAAGTTACTGCAACTCTGATGATGAGTGAACACACAGACTAGAGAGAGAAGAAGAAGAACAGAGACACAAATTAAATTAAATTAAAATAAAATAAAAACATTTTGCGACTCTATTTTCATTTCTCAATTTTTTTTCTGCGATTCGATCAATGCTGATATCAGCAAAAGCACCGCCGCCTTCATCCCCGCTTTCGATCGGTACTCTTCGTTCCTCTCTTCTTGATCTATGATCCATTTCTTTTCAATAGCTTTCGATTCGTCCATGTTTTCGTTCTATTTATGTATTTGCTTCGGATTTATTAACTATGTGACGAAGAACTTTGATCAACAGTCGTGTTCGACTGTTCGTTTGCGCGTCTGTTTGTGTAATAACGCGCCGCCAGTAGAGCTCAGGCGTGATTGTGAGCTGTTCAATTCTAGCTTATCTTTGTGACATGAAGGGATTTGGGATGTACTAATGTTTCGACAGCTGGTGAATCTTGCCCTCCCTCCCCTGTACAAGAATCGTGGGTTTTCTTGATTCATGAGTACCTTTGTTGGAAAAAGAATTAAGGATGTATACAATCTTAAATTCTTGTGTGAATGGCATGTCAAACATTTTATTCCCCTATTACTCGTGAATACACTAATATTTTGCTGCAATAAAAGGATGCTTTGGGTGACTTTTGAAATCAAAATCGGTATGTCGACTCTTGTGTGATAATAGTTTTAGGATAAAATGGAGAAAAAGAGAGGAAGAGTAGATTACTAGGAGGTGACAAGTAAAGGCGGTGATTTTCTAGGTGAGATAAGGGCTTCGAGATGGGAAAATGCAAACTATTATCAGAACTTTTCGGCAACACAACTTTTTTTCTCCTCAATTATGTCTTTCTGTGAAACTTCAAGTTGCAGTTCAGGCATACCGCATGTCTTTGCTCTATGTGCTGTTAGTTATGCAGTTTGATATATGTTGCATTTTTCATATACCCAGAAAAACATTGACAGTTTCATGTTCCCAATATTGAATTTCCTCATAGGTGGCACGGGCCCTCACTGCGTTAAATGTCATGTCGAACCCATTATTTGCTCAACCTCATATGGGTATTCTGGAAGTTGGATTAAGGCACCATTTGAGCTTCATGGAGTTTTTCCGTATCATGGCTTGAGGTACAATGTTGTCATCATGTCATCATCATCTCATTCATTCTTGTTTTTGCTTTGGACATTCCATGCCAACCTGTTACATATGATACTTTCTTCCTGAAATAAGGCTGGGTTAGGATTAAAGGATTTGAAAAAAAAGATTTTAAATGAATAAGTTTCTGTTGATGGTAGGGTCCGATCAACGGTTAAATGAAGATTTAGTGATGATAAAGATAAGAATTAAGAAAGATATACGGAAAAAGTAGGCTTCTTTATATTAATCGCAAGGTCGGCCTCTGGTATTGAGGTCGGCACTTTAGTTACAATTGGAGTATTTACGAAGAATAGTAATTATAGAGAGAAATAGTTAGTACAAGGTTCAACAACCCACAATAAATGAAATAGGCTGCCTATTTATAGTATCCTTAAGTCTGGCACTGGTCATTCACTATTCATCCTGTACAGTAGCTCTCTGAAGGATAGGTCGGAGCCGCTCTGACGGATATTAGATGTGATATGAGATTTTTTCAATGATTATATGCCAGACATTAAATGCTCACACGGGGGACATTTAATGCTGACAGACCTTTCTGTTGAGCTAGATGCCCTATGGTAGTATGCTAGGGTGGCGTGTCCCATCGGCAATCATTAGTTGACCAGTGACAATATTTTATTTGTTCTGGGTCCTGCGTCCATCCAGAAGCCGGTCTTGTGGAATCTTCAGGTCGGACTTCCACTTTATGTTATCTCTTGGCCTCGTCCAAGATTCCGTTCTCCTGTTCGGCATCGGAAGAGGTTGAGCTCGTCACCTGACCGCTCTAGGTGCCGATCTCTTGGGTTACACTATTCGTCATTCTTGTGAACTTCGTTTCTCGGTCAGGTCGGTATTTCGTGATTACTCGGACACCAGTCCGGGTTCTGAGGTCGTCTTTTCCCGGTTCCTTGTTTCGAACCGGAGATTCTACATTGACCCAACTCGGATATCAACAGTTTCAATTCTTAGAATTTTAATTTTAAAATTTAATATTTCTTGTTTGGATTTGGAATGATTTATGGAAAGGATTACAAATCCATTGGTTGGCTCGCGACGCGAAGGTGCTCTCGCAGTTGTGGTGGATCAAGACGGAGGGGCTGGCTCAAATCCATTGAAGTCTTGTGAGGATTTAAAATTAGAAATTTGAAATTCATAGATCCAAATTCCTCAATACAAACACACCCTAAAAGAACTCTCTTTCTCTCTCTCTCTCTCTCTCTGAGTAAGGAGAAAAAGAAGTTTCAAGGTAAAAATACTATACTATAAATGATGTGTTTAGGTGAGAACGGTGATAATGATGTAGGAAGCCATCTGAATGACGATATTTATGAGAAAACTCTCTTTTGTGAACAACGAATAAACCAAAAACAAGATATATATGTCAGTATGCTTTTGCAGGAATATTAAATTATAAAATTTCTCCGTTTTTAGCCAGTTAAATGCAAAATCCTTGTGCAGGACAGGGTTCTAGTAACTATATGGTTAAATTTGTAACAGAGTTTGACCTACCTGCTGACCTCCCTACAAGACCTTATAGATCCTCCCATTTTATTCTTTTTCTTATGGATCCAGTTTGATATTCTCTTATTGAAACTGTCACTCTAATGAAACAAACTGATGATTTGCAGTTTTAGAAGTGACAATCTTTTTTCTGGAACTACACGGCATCAATGGTTGCCTCAGAAACATGATATTTGCCTTTCACAAGTTCCAGTAGCTGCCGATTATTCAGATTCAGTTCCTGACGCTGACTCGTCTAATTATACTAACCATAAAGGCTATCATCCACTTGAAGACGTAAGAGACAACAGACGGGTTCGCGATAAAGTATTAACGTCTTCTGAGATTGCAAGGACTGCTGTAGAGGTCTCATTTCCCAAATATTTCTTTGCCAAGTTATATATCGAAATTTGTTTTATGACAAGTACCCAAGTTTGGTGTATTTAGCCGAATCTGTTAAAAGTCTAGAACAAGCTCTGATCTCTGCTTTTATCTTAGTCTAACCACAGGGCCATGTTAATATTCCCCGGTGCTGTGCACTGTGAGCCACATGAAAAGATCTCGTGGGCTGAATTTCAGTTTGTTGTTGATGACTTTGGAGGTTTGTCTTTTCTCTTTTTGTTCTTTTGCAGTGCAAGTCTCCTCGACATCAATTTAATCATGTTGCTTTCTTCATTATAATTCTGCTATTCTGTTCAGATATATGTTTTGAGGTTTATGACGATCAGAACATCTTACAAGACCGTGGAACAATTAATCCTGTGGTGAGGTTTTAAACTATCATGAAATACTTCGGAATCTTTAGTTTATCTTCCTCCCTCTCATAAACTGTAGGGGCTATATTGTTCTTTTTACTTCTACCCTATATTCACATTTTTTTGCTCGAAATATAAAATTACCTGCTGTCAAACCATATATTGCCCCTCAATTCTCATTTATTTTTACTTTGTTCCACCTTACACGATAGGCTCGTTTAATATTTTCATTTGTCCCACAAACACAACCCTGATTCCTTTTAACATATCAGCTAAAATACTAGGTTCCGTTTATGCCTTATTTAATTTGCATCATTATCAACAAAATAAAATTAAAACACAATAATAATTAATTTAGTGGATATGAAACTTGCCGGATATGATTTATTAAACTATGTCAAAAGGTAAAAAAAGATTATATTTGTGGGATGAAGGGAATACAATTTAGTAGAAGTTCCATGAACATCATTAATCCATGTTGTAATTGATATTGTTATATTTTTTTTCTTACAACTTTTTTTTTTTCTTTTCATTTTATGATGATATAGAACTATGGAGCAAGATTATATTTGTGGGATGAAGAGGGTACAACTTAGTGGAAGTTCCATGAACATCATTTATACATGTTGTAATTGATGTTATATTGTATTTGTCACGACTTTTTTTTTTTTCCTTTTCATTTGATGATGATGTAGAACTATGGAGCAAGTTGCTACTGATACTATTTTTCTAATTCATGATACTTGGTCATTTTTTCCTTGTAATTCCTGAAAGTTTCATGCTCCAATTATAAAATACCTTCGAAATTCTCCACATCTTCATTGCACATAATGTTCATGTCAACGGACAAAACACCTGAACACATGTTGATTCCCATAATATAGGTTAAATTTCAAGGTGTAAAGACCTTCTATCTTTTGGCACTCCTGTTAAGAATTTTTAACCGAGCTTGTATATTTCCAGTGTCCTTAATTAAATTTCGTGTAGTTAAATGTATCCTATCCTGGTGGCTCTTTCTTGATAACATGCCTACTTCTTAGGTGCTTTGATTTTATATGGGTTATGTACTAACAGTTCGCCATTTTCGATTTTAGACTGTCTTGATTGGGATGGATATCGCTTGCTATGAGAGCAGGAAGATGGGTCTTTATGATGACAACACTGTTGACTTTGAGCCTGAAGAGGATGTTTTTTTTATTGATGAATATAGTGAAGTGAGAAGTTATATGTTCCTATTTTTATTTTCTTTACCTTTTAGTTCATGAAATAGACCTCTCTCTTAAACCAATACATTTTGCCTTAATCAGATAGAAGACCCTATCAAGACAGACATCTGGGATAATTGGGAAATACCTGAAAAATCCTCTTCGACTCATCCAATTTACTTTTCCAAGTGCTTGGCAAAGGTCTCTCTCTCTCTCTCTCTCTCTCTCTCTCTCTCTCATATTTTAAGTACCTGAAAATTAGATTCTGAATTTTTTTTTTATATAAGAAAACAGTTAAAATGTATGTTCCTTATTTTTCAACTCTAGCATGATGGGATATGCACATAATAAATTTCCATGTATGAAATTTGAGTGTGTGCGCGACTCAAAGACCTTTAGTTGGAATACTGTAGCGCATTTCTCCAGTTGAATTGAATTGAATTGATGCCAGTTATAGGTCTGGTAGGGATAACAACATTTAAGCTATTCTCACGTGGTTTTGGTGATGATATGAAAGTGTCAATACTAGTTATGTTTAAATTTTGTAATCTACATTTAAATGTCGTTCTTAAAGTGAATAGTAGTTTAAATAAAATGAAATGGGAATCTTTTCATCAACCCTAGTTGGAGCTGATATGAGCTATAAAGACAAATGTGGATGCCCGGTTTATAGTCAGAAGTTAAACATGGAGTCTATGTTTTGGGTAGATTGCAGTAAAGAATGAAGATATATTTCTAAGGTAAGAACAATGACTAGTTAAACTTATAGAAATGTACTACACTTAACTGATGGATTTTTAGGATTCTTTGTTTTAGGATTTTAGGTTACCAACTTGTAGGAACTTTACAATATTTTATCATATAGTCGTTTTTAGAATTATTTTCTGTAACTAAATCAGATGTCAGAAGCAAGTCATGATTGGAAATGTTTTGTATTTGCATGATCAAGAAAGAAATGAAGAATAAAAAAACAACTAAAATTTCTGTGTTAATGAAGAAGAAAAAAACTTAAAATTTCTGCGTCAGATATAAGACATGAAATGCTGTTTTTCAGGAAAGTTTCTGATATAGGTTGTTTATCTATTTTGAGTATGGCATTTCATATTTCTCAGGCTATTGATGTGGAGCATGTTAAAATGATGGATCACCCATCAAATGGTGTTGTCCTGTGGGGCTTCCTCCGACCTGTATATAGTGATGAAGAAAATTATATAAGGCGGTTCTTTAAAGATGAAAAGAGTGATGGCTATACCTCAGGCGGCAGGGGTAATTGAGCGTAATATTTTGATTGAAATTAGAACATAATAAATAATGAGACGGTTTTGATATATATAATGAATTAGGTGCTGCTGATAATGATGTCTTGTGAGTTGTGAACTCTCATATGCAACTAGCCGATATATGTTGCGTTGATAGTTATTTCCTCAACTGTATTACATTTGACCTTGGAGGTTTGGAATGCTCTTCCATCAGTTATGGCATGAAAATCTGTTACTACCTCCTATTCTTTTTAAATGACATTTTTGCATTATCAACTATTAACAAAATAAATGTCGTTTTAGATATTTTTTACATAGTTTTTCATTATTACCCTCATCTAGCTAATAAATAAATTACGTATTTTCATATTTACTCTTCATCTTTTCTCAAAACATTCATCTCTATCCTCATTAATGAGGGTTATTATTGACAAAAAAAATATTCTTAATAACTGTGCAACTTCCCAAAACGACACTTATTATGAATAGGAGGGAGTAGCATTTAATATTAGAAAAAGTTCTTTAAATTAAAAATATATATTGAAAGGACACACAAAATTTTTATAAATTACAGACCTCTGAAAAAGACACAGTTCATCCCATTATGCACAAGCCTATAAGAAGTTTAACTTTACATTTCCACAAGTTTTGGTTAATATTGATCTTTCGGATGCCACTATTTATTTGGAGCCATGAAAACTGAGCCACAGATAAAACTATTGATTACAGGTCCTAATCGAAACCACTTTATTGTCTTCACATGAATGAGTCCATGCATAAAGCTTTATGGTTCAACAGCACACATGCAGAGCGCTATGCATCATAATTTGTCGGATTCTTTGTGAAATGTGGGGAAACAAATCATTATTTGTATTTTCTCTATCTTAGCTTATTTTGTTGTTGTTGTTGTTGTTGTTATTATTATTATTATTTAACCTTTTTGTGTTTTTAAATGTCATTTGATGTTTCATAGTGGTGGTTTGCCCTCTTATTCTACCTTTTAGTTTAAATGAAGTTGGTTTGCACAGATGCAAATAGTGAGAGCTTCAGTGTGGACAACGAAAATTGCGGTAGATCAACTATTTACAGACTGGAAATCGCAAAAATCGAGTTATTCTCAGTCTATGGTGTTCAGGCATGTATGCTTCAAGTTTTAAGTTTTCTTTCTATCATTTTTTGCATTTTGTATATGTTGGATTATGCCCTGAAAAGCTCTCAAGCAATCACAACAGTTCATGACTGATGTGTTACATTGTTTTCTTACTGTAGGTTGTGTGATTAGCCTCAGTTTACCGACATTTTCCTTTGTCTTTTGTTTTTTTGAATAATGGTCTTTTCTAACTTAAACAATGAGTGGATTGCAAAACTGAAATTATTTGGAGTGTTCTGTTAAAGGGGATTCAATAATCAGTCATTTTTTTCTCATATTAGAACAACGTCGTATTTTTTTCCTTAACAGCTGTGTGGTTTCAAATGTTATCTTGCTATACATATATCAGCCTGCTTGACTGGTCTTATGTCACTGATTTCACTTTATGGTACTTTGTGCAGTCAGTTGTTAGTGTGCAGGATTTTCAATTTGCTGAACCTGATGTTCTTGTGCATTCTATGCCATCAATTCTAAAGCGCTTTGACAGGACTGGATCAAGGTGCAATGTTGCCCTTAAAGCTTTTTGCCGGAAAAAAGGACTTTATGTTGAGGTAATATTTGATGTGAGCCAGTGTCCATTTAAGTATAAATGCCCACATTTGCTGCTATCATTGATATTCATAGGTTATTTTAGAAATGGTAAAGTGCAGGCCTTTAAACTCTTTTATAATGATTTCCATTTTGTTTCTATTAACTACGAAATATTACGAAGAATTATAACTCTCCTATCTGGTAAAGAATTTTATCTAGAATGTTCTGCCTCCTACCATGTCGACTTCATTTTCGAGCCCGAATGATGCACTCGTTTCTTTACTTCTTCTTGAGTCTTATCGTAAATAACTTGAGCCTGCTCCCCATGATTTGTGATATTGTATTGCACAATTTTTCATTTGCTGTTTGACCCATTGTTTATAATTTTCATTAAAGAACGTAATATCTTGGACATTTAAAAGCTTTTTTAAGCACAAATCAGTTAAATGCCTAAATCCAGAGATAAGTTGATGACATTTTTCTTATTGCAAATATCACGCTCGTGTACTTATTTATAAAGTGGGCTTATTGAATGGATAGTTTATTGTGTTGATATGATAGTGGTAGTAGCACTGATGTCTTTGTTCATAGTCATTCATAGTAGTAGTAAAGTATAAATATACGGAACGAAATGTGTGTTCAAGCACAAGCAAATTTATTACAGTAATTAAGAGGTCCCTTATCAATCATCTATAATATAGTCTTAATTTCTTGTATGACATACATTTTTTTCCATCTTTGAAACAATAGTTCATTGATACCTCAAACCAAAAAGTAGCAAGACTGCTGGTCACTGACAAAGCTTCCGTAGTTATGCAGTGTTTGATGCTTTACATTAAAACAAATTAATATAAATTTAAAATTCTTCATGCAACTCCAAGCTACCACTGTTCATAAATTAATCATTTACCTTTGATGGCCTTGAATCACCGTGTAGGAAGTCTAGCTTATATACCCTAAAGTATCTGTCCTTTTTTCCTGTTATTCTATTCAGTTGGTTTTGACATTTTCGACTCGTTGAAGGGGTTTAATTTCCATATAACAGAACCTGAAATGTAGAATTTCAATTTCCATTTGATGTGATGATTCTAATGTTTTTAATTTTTTCTTTTTTCTTTTACATAATTTTTTATAGAAAAAAAGATTAATAAACTTAAATACTTAATATAGATTCCTATTTACTGTTTGCCGTTTGGCATCAAACTGGAGCTCATCCATGGTCAATGTTTTTATCGGCAGTGGCATCTTCGAGCCTTTTCTGAGCAAATGCTCTAAAGTTTTGGTTTCGATGGTTGTGCCAGAGTATAATCACGATGTATCTATTGACAAGAACCAGAATATCCTGTTTGTTTTTCAATTAGCACGCTTTAAGTTCCAACCTACATTAACTGTTAGCTCATGAATTTGAAGGGACAAGCTTCCCTAATGTACCAATCATCCAATTTCAGCCTGATAATTTAATGTAAAATATCAACAAACTAGTTTGCATGTCATAAAAGTATGTAGTGCTGTCACAGACGTGGTTACTCTCGCATGAAAGTTCATTTACCTGAGAATGACTAGGTTTTAACTGTTTAAGGAGGTTATGCAAACATTAAAAATAAATGAATTTGCTTACTTTTTCTTTCACCTAGAATTGGACCGTCACTTGTTTTTATTGCTTGCCTCTGACAATGTTGCACATCCTTTTATAGAGAGCAAATTTGATTGGAGTCGACAGCCTTGGCATTGACGTTAGAGTTTCTGCTGGAACAGAAGTACGCACGCATCGGTTTTCCTTCAAAGTTCGGGTTAGTGAAAAGCATTGTTGTTCTTTTACGTATCTTTTCATGCACTCTAAAATATCGTCAGTCACAAAGTTAAACATTTGTTGTATTTGCTTCGTACTCGAGTGCCTTAATATAGTAATAAGTTATGTTGCCTTTTTTATCATCATATGACATTTGGACCAGTGCACCTCCTGCAGGCGAATACAGATTGTGCTGCAGACAAACAGATACAGCAACTTTTGTTCCCCAAGTCGAAGCGGAAAAGGTCAAGGACACTTGATACACCTACAGAGGTCGACTCATTTTGATGAACTTTTTTTCTTTTCTTTTCCTTGTTAGCCACAACCACAAATTATTAGGAGTGAGACGAGTCCTAATAGTTGGCAAGGCCTCCCCTCTTTCGTTTTCCTCTTTGTAGCTTCGAAAGTGTTTGATTTTGACCTATGAAGTTATTGTGTAATTAGAGATGTTAGAGCCATCAACTAGACTGTGCATGCTACTGAACAAACAAGTGTGTGTTGGTGAAGTGAAGCCTAATGTAGTTGCCATTGTTGAACTTGTGCCCTTATTTGGACTAGTTGACAAGGTATTAGATTAAAAATAAACAACCTCAAAACATTGTTATATTTTCTCACAAAATTCCATTCCCAGTTTTCTCCTTTCCATCTCAATGTTTTCTCACAATCTCAGTAATTAAGTAAAACTAAAAAGTATATATAATTATCATATTTTTTTAATAATAAACATTATTTTTTGGCACATATTTCTAACCATCATTCTTATTAAATAATATTTTATTATTTCTATATATCAATGTTAATCATTACTCTTTTGTCTTAGATTTATTTCTAATCTCAAATCTATCTCACATTCTTAATAAAAAAATATACTTTCCAAATTTTTATCTCTAGTTTCAGGAAAAACATTAACTTTTGGATAGAAAAAGACCATTCAATTGTGTTTCCAAAAAAATTATTATTCAATTTTTTATCTCTATTTTCAGGCAAAACAAAAATGTCCAAGAAAAAAGAAAAAAAAAAATGTCCATTACATTGTGTTTAGCTTGTCCTTATGGCAATTCAACTAAAATAGCATGATCCTCTTAACATAACCAACACACATTGATGATATTAGATTTTATTGATATCAAATAAAAACTGGAAGTACTAGAAATCAAACCCAAAGGCTGCAATTAAAGAAAAACATATCTCAGTGTGGAGTAGAGATATATTCTTGTTTGAACATTTCTCGATTTTTGCGTGCTTGTGCGCATGAATAATGCTAATCTTCTCTGTATCGTTCCAATTTTATCGGATGTCCCCGAAGGGACAGTGTGGAATAGAGATATTCCTGTTTGAGCATGTCTTAACATATGTACAATACAACAGGAACAAATTTCAAAAACACTATTCAACACAATCTTTGCAAGCATGATCCCATATTTTAATTTGATTATTAAAAAAGTACAATTTTGTACAATATCCATATATTCAGAAGCAAATTTTCATGAATATCCTAACAATGGCAATGGCAATGTTGTAGAAGCATAATACAACAACAAAATTTCTACAATCCAACAATATAATGATAAATAGGGGGCATTTTCTTTTTGTGATTTCAAATTATAATATTTTGCTGCATTATTGTTTAGTAGTAGTTGAGGTCTCTGCATTAAAGTGAGTGCTGCTGAACCCAACCTCCTCATCCCCAACCTCACTTGTATTCATACCCATTTTATCACCCCTGTA